GAGACTCGCTTGAGCCCAGGAGTTGGAGGTTGCTGTGAGCTGTGAAGCCACAGCACTCTACCCAGGGGGATAGCTTGAGGCTCTGTCTCAAAAAAAATAAAATTAAATAAAGTAAAATAAAATTAAATTAAATTAAATATCTCCTATTCTCCTCAGGCATCTGACTGAACAACTTACCTTTTTGGCAGTAGACTTCCCTGATACGAGGGCTCGGAGCAATTGCAGGAGTGGGGAAAGCAGGTGGGGAAACATTCCACATACACTGTCCAGAATTATCCCAAGACCAGAGGTTGGCTCCTATAGTGGAAGGATAGAGGTCACTGATTCACATTATCCACAAATTAACTTATCTTCAAATTGCCCACAAATCGTTAAGAAAATTTAGAGTTGATTCTGCCCATTAGACAGACATCATCCTTCCCTGATAATTTGAGACCTTCATTATTTCCACTGAAAAAGGTTATTAAACAACTGATTTCAGGATCCAAAAAGAGACGACTAGACTATTCTATCCAGTGACCTCCTCCTAACCATCTTTTCTAAAGGAAGACAGCATTGTTCACCTTTGTATTAAATGTTTCTACTAATGTAAAAACTACCCAAGGAAATTTCAGCACTTAGTCACTATAAACAAGCAATAGATGCTAAATTTAGACACTTTCATACCAGCTTCTCCCAGGAATACTATGGTTTTGTAAGATTAGACAGGATCTCAGGAAAAGGAGAGTAAGATACACAGGCAGATCAGTAAGATTACAGTACAAGAGAAAACAGACTTACCACCCAGACCTTGAGGTTTGAGGCTATTGCCAATGCTAACACTAATTACTGGTGAAAAACTGTTATCTCCAAAGCCAAATTCTCACTTGAAATAATCACAATGTCCTGACAACTCAATAAGATACAGTTAAAATGCCCTAGTAATACTTTCAAGAGCTGCAGGAACACTGGTGCCTAAGAGATTGCCAATGTGAAAAAAAGTTGGAGGTTTTGGAGAAGAAGCAAAAAACAAACAAACAAATAAACAAAAAAACCCAACTTGATGGGTAGGACAGATAATACCACTAGTTAATGATTTGGGCTACAGACTCAAATAAGACAAAACTAGGTATTGGCTATCTCCCTCTAGTTGTGTGACCTTAATAAGTAAATCACTTCACATCTCTAAGCACTGCTTGTCATCATATTAACAATGGTGACAGTATCTACTTCACAGATATTTATAAAGATTAAATAAATGAGAAAATATACAAATCCTATCACAATGCAAGTATTTGATAAATTCTTTTGCTTCAGAGAATGTCACACATTGACTTCCTCTAACATACTTACTGTTCCCCAGAACAGTTCTGGAAGAGAAGGGTCTGCCAGGACTTCACATGCTGTGTCAATTACATCCTGTTGTGGGGGGAGAAAATGGTTTATTTTCCCCAGTTTTAACCAGTCTTTTTTTTTTTGAGACAGTTTCACTATGATGCCCTCAGTAGAATGCCATGGCATCACAGCTCATAGCAACTTCAAACTCTTGGGCTCTAGTGATTCTCTTGCCTCAGCCTCCCAAGTAGTCGGGACTACTGGCACCTGCCACAATGCCCTGCTTTTTTTGTTACAGGTGTTGTTGGTTAGCAGGCTGGGGCTGGATTCAAACCTGCCAGCCCCGGTACATGTGGCCAGTGTCCTAAACACTGAGCTACGGGCACCAAGGCTCAAGTCAGGAATCATTAAAAATTAACACAATGGGCTCGGCACCTGTGGCTCAAGCGGCTAAGGCGCCAGCCACATACACCTAAGGTGG